GGTTAGTGTTTAGGGTTTAGGGTTTAGTGTTTAGGGTTTAGGGTTTTCTACATACCTTTTGTTTATTGGTGACAACACAGAGTGTACTTCGTAGACGTAAACCCTCGGGTATAATAGGATTAGGGTTTAGGGTTTGTATTAGGGTTTGTGGTACTTTATTAAAGGCAGATAGCATACGGTGTATAGACACCTGGCATACATTATGTATATCATTAGGGTTTGTGTTTTCTATCATTCTTAATAAGTGTTTATTCCCTTCTATTGGTAAACCACGCAAAACACTCAATAGGGTTTGTCCTGCTGCATCTAATGGTGTTTCTTCGCGTCTGTACACATTTATACAACACACAAGCGAGGGTTTAGGGTTTATGAGGGTTTAAAAGGGTTTACGAGGGTTTATAAGGGTTTATAACGGTTTATAAGGGTTTACGAGGGTTTACGAGGGTTTGCGAGGGTTTAGCAGGATCTAAACCCTAATAAACCCTAAACCCTTTTATAACAACACCCTAAACCCCAACAATCGAAAAATCACAACAAACACATAAGCCCTTACAAACCCTAAACCCTAAACCCTAAACCCTAAACCCTAATAAATGCTTACCCAACAATAGAGCAGATAAGAGAAGATTTAGCGGCTTTTATTTCTTCTGTTGTTAATTTTGCCTCCCCCGTGGCGTAAGGAAGGAAAGCCTTAAATGTTGCCTCTAATGCCTAAACCCTCACAAACCCTAAACCCTAAACCCTAAACCCTAAACCCTTATTCATAAACCCTAAACCCTAAACAACAAACAATGACTTACAAACACTGCTTAATTGCCAAAAACGGACGCAAAACCCCCAAAACACGAACCCTCAATCTAAACCCTAGTAAACCCTCACAAACCCTAAACCCTAAACCCTAAACCCTTACCCCGACAGCATCAGTAGCAGGAGAAAATCTTAGGGTTAATAAACCCGCGTCAGCATTATAAGATAAATCGCAACCATAAGCAAACCCTCCTCCTCGTACAACACGGAATAATAACCCTAAACCACAAACTCTAAACCCTAAACCCTAAACCCTCAAAAACCCTAAACCCTAATTTTCAACTTACCCATGGTAAACCCTAATTCAATCCATAAACCATTACGTACAAATAGAAGAAAATCCTTGTAAACCCTAAACCCTACTATATACATATAGGGTTTAGGGTTTAGGGTTTAGTGTGATTTTAAGGGTTTACGATGGTTTTAAGTCGTATAAAAGACGTGTAAAGAGAGAATTAGGGTTTAGGGTTTAGGGTTTAGGGTTTAGGGTTTACCTTCCATCATAGAGAAGGATTCACATACAATTAATAGAGGACAAAACACTTTATTAGTGTTATAATATCCATAAGGCATATTGATTGTTAATTCAAGATAAGTTGCTGCGCTGCTGCCTAATCCTACTACTATACGAACATCTGCTGCTGCTGCTGCTGCTGCTGCTAATTCTATTGCTGCTTCTGCTGATCTTGCTGCTGCTGTCTTTGTTGTTGTTGTTGTTGCTGCTGCTTCTGCTGCTCCTTCTCCTTCTTTTGCTGTCGTTGCAGCAGCACACTTGTTGTTGTTGTTGTTGCTGCTGCTGCTGCTGTTGCCGTTGCTGCTGCTGCTGTTGCTGCTGCTGCTGCTGCAGTTAGTAAGAGGTTGTCTTATATCATGAGCAGATAGGCGGAGATCTAAATGTGTATGAGGATAAGTATTCCTAGGGAAGGAAGTATCCTGCTGCTGCTGTTGCTGCTGCTGCTGTTGCTGCTGCTGCTGCTGCTGTTGCTGCTGCTGCTCGTCTCCACCAAGGAGTTTATTAACAGTAGACATAAAAGAAGGAGGTAACTTAGCAGCAGCAGCAGCAACATGCAGCAGCAGCTGCTGCGGTGCAAATAGTTCCTTATAGAGGGGAATAAGTTTTGCTGTTGCAGCTGGTTTATATATTATTCCTTTTTTTGCTGCTGCTGCTGCTGCTGCTGTTGCTGCTTCTGCTGCAGCAGCAGCTATATCTGCAGCTGTTGCACCCTCTTTATCTGCTGCTGCTGTTGCTGCTGCATTTGCTGCTTCCTCTACATCTGTTGGATCTATTTCTCCTTTTCCTTTTCTTTTTCCCTCCTTTCCTGCTGCTGTTGCTGCACCTTCTTCCTCTTCCTCTCCCTCCTCCTCCTCCTCTTCCTCTCCCTCCTCCTCCTCCTCCTCCTCCTCTTCCTCTCCTTCTTCTTCCTCCTCTCCTTCCTCCTCTCCTTCCTCCTCCTCTTCTTCTTCTTCTTCCTCTTCCTCTGTATCTGTATCTGAATCTGTTGCTGTTGTATCTGCAGCAGCATAAGCAAGATCTTTTGCTGCTGCTGCTGCACTGCAGCAGGATCCACCATAAGCAGCAATATTACGCATGCAGCAGCAAGAGAACCATAAAAAAGAATATAATTGATGAATAAGGAAGAAAGGTTTTTGTTTATTTTTTATTAATTGTTTATTTATTTTATTTATTTGTATATTTAATCTTTTATCATTAAATATTATTTTCTTAATAAATCCTAATAATAATATTAATAATTTGTTGCTGCTGCTGCTGCTGCTGCTGCTGCTGGTGGCGGTGGTGGTGGTGGTGGTGGTGGTGCTGCTGCTGCTGCTGCTGGGGTTAGGGGGGTTTATATGTCCTATTATATTTATATTTATTATGTTATATAATATAGAGGGAGATACACCCGTGCTGCTGCTGCTGCTGCTGCTGCTGCTGCTTAGACCTATACCTATACTATGATGAGTTGTATGCTGCAGCAGCAATTGAGATACTAATGTATAAGGAATAAGTATACGATCTGCTGCTGCTGCTGCTGCTGCTGCTGCTGTTATTGCATCTTTATTACCTCCTGTATCTTTTGCTGCTGCTGCTGCTGCTGCTGCTATAGATAATGCTGCTCCTCTTCTTATATCCTTATCCTCTATATCTAATATTGCTGCTTCCTCCCTAGACACCTCAATATCGCTCTCCTGCAGCAACTGCAGCAACTGCAGCAGCAGCAGCAGCTGCTGCTGCTGCCATCCTTTAGGTATTCTTGCTATTAAATGTAAAGAAATAAACTCAGAAGGAATATCATTAAATAGCAGCAGCAAACCATTACATCCCTGCAGCAGCTGCCCCCCTCCTGCTGCTGCTGCTGCTGCTGCTGCTGCTGTTGCTGCTGCTGGATCGTTAGCACCTGCTGCTGCTGCTGCTGCTGCTGCAACAAGAGGGAAATTAGCAGCAACTCTTGTCTGTATTAGATGCAGATTATTAACACTAGCAAAGGGAATAGACTGCAGCAATTCATCAGGAGGAGGGATACTTTGCTGCTGCTTAACAGCAGCAACGTGCTGCTGCAGCAGCTGCAGCTTGCTGCTGCCTACCTTATCTACTATATATGATGCTGCTGCTGCATCTGCTGCTGCTAATTGCTTCTGTAAACGACGAGAAGGCCAGCAGCAAACTACTGCAGCAGGAGCAGCAACAAAATACTCATCTAGCTGCTGCTGCCAATAAGCAGCAGGCTGCTGCAGCAGCTCTGCTGCTGTTGCCCATAGATCGCACTGCTGCAGCAAATCTGTGGGGTTGCTGCCATACAAAAAATACTCTATAAATAACTCCAATACTGCAGCAGCAACAGCAGCAACAGCAGCAACAGCAGCAGCAAATAATAAATAAATAAATAAATAAATAAAATAAAATAAATAAATAAATAAAAAAGATAAAGAAGCAAATGCAAAAAAAGACAGCAAATCATTAACGTATAGGGACATAAAATAAATATATATAAATAAATATAAACAAATAAATAATAAATAAATAAATAAATAAATAAATAAATAAATAAATAAATAAAAATAACATTAATTAAACAAAAAAAGAAAGAAAGAGAAAGAAAAAGAGACAAGAAAAGACATCAGAAAACCCAAAACCCTAAACCCAAAACCCTAAACCCTAAACCCTAAACCCTAAACCGTAATTACTTGTACTATGTGGTGAATGTTCTAAGGCGAAGGAGTACTGCAGCAATTCTCTCTTAATTAATTGATGGATCTTATTAAGATCGAAGTCTGCTGCTGCTGCTGCTGCAGCAGCAGCAATTGCTTCTCTTATTTTATTAGCAACAAATAAACTTTGCTGCTCTTGTGCTTCCTCTAATATTCCTTCTTCTTCGTCATCATCATCATCTTCTTCTCCTCCCTTCTGCTGCTGCTGCTGCTGCTGCTGTTGCTGTTGCTGCTGCTGCTGTTCTCCCTGTTCCTCATCCATCTTCTCTACCTCTCCGTCTCCGTCTCCCTCTCCCTGTAGCTGCTGCTGCTGCTGCTGCTGCTTCTTCTTCTTCCTCCCCTTCTGCTGCTGCTGCTGCTGCTGCTGCTGCAGCATTTGCTGCTGCAGATGTAGATGAGGAAGCATAAGATCATTAGCCTCAATATAAAAACAAGTATGAAGGAAATTTTCTCCTCCGTATCTAACAGAGGAGCAAAGAGGAGAAGAAAAAAAAAGTGTATTTTTTTTTTCTTTTTTTTTTTTATTAATAAATTTATAATTAATAAATGTATATTTATTAGTAATATTATTAATTAAATTATTCTTTATATAATGATTATTTTTTTGTATATTTTTATCTATTAATTTATGCATATAATTATAATTAAATATATAATATTTTTCTATTAATTCCTTATATAATAAAGAATTATTATTAATTGTTAATAAAGAAAGGAGATAATCTATTGTCTCCTTCTTACTAAATTGTCTCCAATTTACTCCTCTGTATCCAATTAATAATAAGCCCCCTTCTTTCTCATCACTAGGGTACTTAATTATTTTTATTATACTTTTTCCTTTTTTTTTTTTTTCCATACTACTCATGCTGCTGCTGCTGCTGCTGCTGCTGCTGCTGCTGCTGCTGCTGCTGCTGCTGCTGATGGTGGTGCTGGGGGTTGGTGGTGTTGTTGCTGTTATGTAGATCTCTTTATCACTTATATCT